CAGTATAGTTTCCGCTTCGTCTTCATGTCAATGTATTGCTGACTTGAATAAAATGCGGTCTGCGAGGAGTGGAACACGAGCAAATACCGGTCCTTCCACAAGAAATAAACCTCTTCGCAGGACAGAGGTGATGATTGGACGATATCGGCCGCCATCGTCATAAGGAAAAAATCGTCGACGACTACGGTACGGCGCTCCGAGGAGTCGTCTCCTGCCCACGTCTTCGCGAAGTATTGGCTCCTATCGAGTCTTGTAAATACCTCCCAGTCGCTAGTAAGGGGAACATGAGATAGAGTGAAAAACATTGAAAAACCGAAATCATACGCAGATGAATACGTTGGGGCCATAATTGAAGAATCAGGTAGTATCAGGAGAATCGAAGGGATGGGCTTTATGCTGGAACAAAGCACTGCCAGGCACTGCCAGGCACTGCCGCAGCAGCACTGCCGTCAATGTGTCAAGAGTACACGTTTGAGAAGCCTGGCCTTTGCTTTGACGAGACCAGCTTTTGATAAGAGGCTACAGAGGCATCTTTGAGCGAGTTAATTCCATTCCTTTGTGCTTCAACCAAACACAGAACAAGAACATATCTGCCAGGATATTCCGTATCCGTCTCCCTCCGAGTCTGCCGTAGTACCGGCTGCTGTCTGCGGTGTTACACCGGTGTTCAGAAAAGAAAGGATATATTGCTGTTAGCCAAGCCGTTCCGGGCGGGCATGTATCCTCTTCGTCACGCGATCCGGACCCATTCACCTCGCTACTCGATGTCCACCGCGCCGCCGCGCTATCACTCCCGCATAAGGCGGCACGTCGACCGGCCAAGCGTAACTTGCTGGGGGTCAGCGTGTATCGGCCCCATGTCCCAGCGGATCGCCGTGTGCTCCTGTGTGTCCTCGAGCGTCTGCTCCTCGCGCACGTACCGTCGTGCTCGGGGGACGGGGCGGGCTCGGTGGGGTTTTGCGGGTGGGGGTGCGCTTCGGAGGGTGTTTGGGAATGGGTAGGAATGGGGTATTGCGCTCGGGGCTGCGCTTCGGAATCGACGGCCGTTTGGTCTCGCACTTGTGCGTGCGCCGCCTACACGGAAAGCAGCATCAGCATCAGCATCAGCGTCGTAACAGGACGAAAAGGAGGGATAGATAAAATATGAATATAAAGGAAAAAACAAGGCTGCAGCGGGAGGAGTATTCGAAGAAGACGGGGAAGAAACAAGGGAGAAGAAACATATAACGTATTGAAACCAAGCAAAGAAAGAAAGACATAAAACATGAACGAAGAAAAGAACGCACATCGACCCCCTCCCGCTCGTCCTTCCCTTCATCGTCAACACCAACGTCCTTGTAGTCCGCATCAACAGGCGACGCCGGCGCCGACAGGCTCGCGAGGTACGCGAGCGTCACGCTGCCCGCCTCGGCGCACGAGGGGCAGGAGGGGCAGGTGGAGGGCGCGGCGGGCGCGTCCGTGTTCGTGTTCGCGTCCGAGAAAGGCGTTGGTCCACCCAAGATAGACGAGTCCGGCATAGGAATAGGAACAGCGCTAGCCTCCGCCATCGAGCCATCGCCCAGATTCGGCGTCCCCGGGGCCGCGGAGCCGCCCATGGAGCCGCCCAATGGCAAGATGCCCATCGAGCTCCCCGGGATCGAGATAGATAGAGATGTAGGCATAGTAGTAGTGTGCGTGTCGGGCGTAGTGTCGGGCGTAGTGTCGGGCGTAGTGCGCGTGTCGGGCATGGTCATAGTCATAGGCGTAGCAGTGGTGTGCGCATGGGGCGTAGTCGTAGCCGTAGTCGTAGTCGTAGTCGTAGTCGATACATGAATAGATGTAGGAATAGCCGCAGGAATCGCGGGAGACGCAGCCGGCGAAGACGCGCGCACGCCGCCCGCGAGCGCGACCATGTAGTCCTGGCACAGCGGGCACCAGAAGTGGCGCAGGAACACGACGAGCGTGCGCCGGCCCCGTCCTGTGGTGGAGGTGGGTGGGGCGTCGACGCTGAGCGTGCCGGTGCCGCCTTCTGACGCACCACCCACTGACGCGCCGCCCACTGCCGAATCGACGCCAGACGCGCGGGGAGGATCGAAGACGCCCGCGAGCGCGCCGGGGGACATGCCGAGGAGGGCGCCGAACGGGACGCGCACGCCGCTGGGCGCGACGAGCGGGAGGCGTGCCGCGCGCGCGAGGGCGGCGGGCGTGAGCGGGGCCAGCGCGGGCAGCGGCGGGGGCTTCGACTTTGGGTTCGCGGTGGCCTTGCGCTCGGGGCTCTTGGGCGGCGGCGGGGGCGGGGGCGGCTTGACGATCTTGGCGGGGCCGCGCGGGGAGACGGGGGAGGACGGGGCGGAGGTGGCGTCCGTCTCGCCCGACGCGCGCGAGGAGGCGGAGCCGGAGCCGGAGGAGGAGGTGGAGGAGGTGGGCGAGATGATGTGTGGGGGGAGGTCGAGCTCGCGGAGGGACATAGCGCGCGGCGGGAGGGCGAGGGCGGCGAGGGCGGGCGGGAGCAGCGCGGGCGGGAAGGCGATGAGGGCGGGCGCGGAGATGGTTTGTTTGCGGACGCGCGTGGGCGACGGGTGCGGGAGGAGGAGGCGCGCGAGGCCGCCGAGGCGGTTGCGCGTCGGTGTTGCGGGCGCGGCGGGGGCGGGCGAGGGCGGGACGGAGGACTGCACGCGGCGGCGGGTGGTGTAGTGGGGCTGCGCATGCGATGGGGACTGCGCGGACGGGGCCGGGGCGGGCTCCAGCGGCAGCGCTGCGTAGAGCGCGAACGACGCGCGCGACGGCAGCGAGCGGACCTCGTCGTCGTTGGCAGCGGCGGCGAGGGCGCGCAGGACGTCGTCGTCGACTGCGGGCGCAGGCTTGCGGCGGACTCGCGTAGACGCCATGAGGGAGGGACGCAGGAAAGGGGGTTGGCTGGATTCGACTTTAACTTGCTGCAACGCCGTTTAAGCAAGGCTGCTGCCCCAACTCGCTTTCCACACGTGTCAGCCTTCCTTTGCTCGCTTTAGCCATCCTGGTCCGCAGATTCATTCGTTAATTTGCTAAAGCCTTTGCCTTGCTGCTGCCGAGTACCCATCTCGGTCGTGGCCAATATGCGGTCGAGGAAGGAGAGATTTGTACCGGCGATTAGAAAAGTGCCGGCATCACTCAATACTCAACCACCACCACCCTCGCCCAAACACGCTGGCCTCCCCGGGCACCCCTGACTCCGCTAACACTTCCTGCCAGGCTAGCGCACTCCACGGTCTCGCTTTCCTCCACCGTCGACTCACGGTCCCCGGCCAAGTAAGTATAGCACCTGTCACCGACGCCACCGCGCGCTAATGACCTCTAAATCATCACATATATGCCCGAGCGAGATACAGTAAACTGCAATCTCCGATATGCATCTGTGGCAGATCACTCTAAATATGCAGTCTCCAAGGACCCTCACGACCGGCACCGTAAATGCAGTGCCTTAGGCTTCTTTGGCTGTGATCGCAATTGCTGAACTATCTCTGCGCAATTCAATTTCATTCGTTCCCGTTTCGCGTGGGCAGGAATGCCAGCCCACACCTTGAATAACCTGTTAAATAACGCCTAATGTATATTATACTAATGCACGTATGTAGTCTTCTCCCCTGCAAATACGAGCGAATCCAACGAACGGCTGAGCACCAAGTACTCGAGATGCAAAAGAAATAGAAACCCACTGAAGAGAAAAAAGGTTATCAAGAATGTTCATCACCCGACCCGGAATCGAACCGGGGCCTTCTGCTGAAATGGAAACACGAATAGAAAAGTTTAGCAGACGCACACCTTGTGCCACCGGGTGTTCCCTCCACCTCACACATCAAGAGATATATGGGCATGAACTGAGGTCCCAGCTTGTTATATCATCGTTCTACTACTGCCGAAATCATTGACAATGAAACGTGAAATTCAAGCAAGATCTGGTCACCCGCTACTGTCCCTCAGAGAAAGGCAACGGGCGACGAGGACGCCGCAGTTTGGATGGGCAGAACGAGGAACAAAACGAGGCGGGAAAAAGGGAAAAGGGGAAAAAAGAAAAAGAATCACCCGACCCGGAATCGAACCGGGGCCTTCTGCTGAAATTGAATAGGCACGGTTATATTAAGTTTAGCAGACGCACACCTTGTGCCACCGGGTGTTCCCCCCACCTCACACATCAAGAGATATGTGGGCATGGACGAGGTTCCAGAATCAAGATTACATTGATATTGATATTTGAACCAACATGCAAGCTGGAAATCTGGAACCAAGCTGCAGTGGGGTCTAGATCCGACTGTAGCGTTTCTGACTGCACTCAATACATAGATCCCGAGAAAGAGAGTGTGCCGCGAGTTTGGAAAGGACGAGAAATTTAAACAAACGAAGCCCAAAAAAGGGGAAAAAGAATCATCCGACCCGGAATCGAACCGGGGCCTTCTGCTAAGACCAGTCTATTCACCCTCTACATCTAGTAGATGCGCCACCGGGTGTTCTCTTCACCTCGCACATCAAGAGATATATGGGCATGAATGAGACCCAGAATCAAGATTACATTGATATTTGAACCAACATGCAAGCTGGAAATCTGGAACCAAGCTGCAGGGGTCTAGATCTGTCCGCGTTTCTGACTGCCCTTACATAGATCCAGAGAAATTCAAGGACGCCGCAGTTTGGAAAGAACGAGAAACAAACGAGGCGGGAAAAAAGAACCACCCGACCCGGAATCGAACCGGGGCCTTCTGCTAAAATTAGGAGGTCAATCACACTATAGGTCTAGCAGACGCACACCTTGTGCCACCAGGTGCCTCCTCCATCTCGCACATCATGAGATATATGGACATGAACGAGGTCCCAGAATTGCATTATTCAGCTAACATGCAAGTCGAGGCCTGAATTGAACTGAGCTGCAGTAGAACCTAGATCCGACTGTCTGTATTTCTGACTGCCCTTACATGGATCCAGAGAAGTTCAAGGACGCCCCAATTTGGAAAGGACGAGAAACAAACGAGGCAGAAAAGGAAAAAGAACCACCCGACCCGGAATCGAACCGGGCCTTCTGCTGAAACTTCTTCTGGTAGTTGGCGTATGCCTAGCAGACACACACCTTGTGCCACCGGGTGTTCCCTTCACCCTGCACATCAAGAGATATATGGGCATGGACTGAGGTCCCAGCTTGAATTCAAGTCAAGTTACAATTTAACTATTACCGGATTCAGTGTCAATGAAGCGCGGAATTGAACCCAAGATCTGGCCACCTGCTACTGAGTTAACTGTCCCTCAGAGAAAGGCAACGAGCGATGAGGACGCCGCAGTTTGGATGGAAAGAGAAACAAACGAGGCGGGAAAAGGAAAAGGAAAAAAATAATCACCCGACCCGGAATCGAACCGGGGCCTTCTGCTTATATATCTTCAACGGATATGATGATGTTCAGCAGACGCACACCTTGTGCTACCAGGTGTTTCCTTCACTCCACACATCAAGAGATATATGGGTATGAAACGAGGTCCCACAATCAAGATTAAATCGATAACCTTTATTCGTCTTTAAGCCCGAAATTTGGAACCAATGTCGGAAAAATCCCAGTCAGCTTGCAACGGCATGAGACAGCATGTGGCCTGGGCACAGCTTGGGAGCGCTTCCAAGCCGCAGCGGGGAGGCTTAGAACCGGTTCGAAGTCGATTAAAGCCTTGGTTTCAGTTTCAAGGTGTCTGATGCCGTGCCAAGGTAGTTATTCTGATACTATTAGCCCACGAAGAAGAAAGGGAACAATAAAATGAATTAATATTGTTAATGCGCAGATACATGTCCTTGTCAACACCGTCTATGATGTAATGCATTCCATCCTTGCCCCCAAAGATGGGAGCAAGCAACACACCACGAATGATGTGCTCAAGCAAAATAAAATGACAGTTTTTTAGCGGTAATTTCAAGCGTATAGGGCAGTCAGTGCGAGTGTTGGCGCTGCCATCGCTAGGTTGAGTGTTGCGCCGCCCGGGAGATGACTGGTGGAGCCCATGACATCATTGATGTCATGGGCCTATATCAAGCACCACCGCGTTACGCCGTGACTCCACTCTCTTTCTTCCGTCCCACCACCATCCCACTTCACTTCCTCTGAATCCGAGGTGCGTATCCTGGCGCCACTATTCATTAACTTGTTCATTGATTGTGGTTAACCCTAGTTCCACCCTGGCCTTTCTTCAACTTGAAGTCCCGCCGGTGCGCCTTCGAATCTTTTGCAATTGTTAATGCAGTCCTCCCATTGAGTTTCGGCGGAGCTGTCCTGGTGCGGTCTCTGTGACATTTCCAATCTCAATCTCTCATTACCATCTGCACCAGGCACCTCAACACATTTGACCAGTATGTCAATCAATTACCAGTAGCCCACTCGCTCATGTTGCTAGGATTGTTCCTAGGATTATTCAAGCAATTGTATGCCGCTAGCTTGTACTTGGTTTTCAATATATTATTTCTCCATTACTGCTGTGTGAACGATCCGAATTTGAAATATTATTGAGCGGCCGCATTGTGCTTATAGCTGGGTGAGTTTGGTAGTCGTAGAAGTACTCCCAAGGTCCCATGGCACTCGGGAACCATGGGAGACCTTGGAACGAGCGCCGTGGCTTCGAAGCACTTCCAAGATTCCCAGATGTGTCCTGGAAGCCACCTTGAGGCATTTGAGCATTGAACGGCTTGGAACGCCTTCAAGGCCGTTTAAAGCCGAATAGGATTTTTCCGACAAAGTCGAGATACTAACAACCACGGGCCCCCCTCTTCCAAAGCTGGGTGGGCCCATCAACATCAATACATGCAAGGAAAGAGACGAGCCTGAGCGGGTGCAGAAGTACGATGGGCACGAGAGGCGTACACAGGAAAAGGGAAAAGGGAAAAAAATAAACACCCGGGCCGGAATCGAACCAGGAACCAGGAACCTGAGATATCCAGGGGCACACACTGGGCCACGAGCAGATACACCAGGTTACAGATGCACACCTTGTGCCACCGGGTGGTTCTTTCATCCTGCACATCAAGAGATATATGGGCATTAACGGGGTCCCAGAATCAAGATTAAATTGATAACCTTTATTCAACTTGAGGCCCGAAATTTGGAACCAAGCTGTAGGGCCTAGATCCGACTGTCTGTGTTGCTGACTGCATTCAATACATAGATCCAGAGAAATTCAAGGAGAATAAAGTTGCGTTAAGTTTGGAAAGAACGAAAAACAAAACGAGGCGCAAAAAAGGGAAGAAAGTAATCACCCGACCCGGAATCGAACCGGGGCCTTCTGCTGAAACTATAAACTGTACTCCTTAAATTTGGCAGACGCACACCTTGTGCTATCGGGTGGTTCCTTCGTCCCGCAAATCAAGAGGTATATGGGCATGAATGAACCCAGAATTAGAATTGAATTATTATTTGAAGCAACGTCCAAATTGAGGAACCAAGCTGCAGTGGAGTCTGGATTCGGACTGTAGCGTTTCTGACTGCACTCAATACATAGGTCTAGATAAATTCAAGGACGCCGCAATTTGGAAAGAACAAGAAACAAACGAGGCGAAAGAGGGAAAAGAACCACTCGACCCGGAATTGAAACGGGGCCTTCTGCTGAAATTTTTCGGAACAGTGTACTCCCCAAATCTAGCAGACGCACACCTTGTACCACCGGGTGGTTCCTTCGCTCCGCACATCAAGAGATATATCAGCATGAAATGAGACCCAGAATTAAAGTACATAAATTGAACCAGCGTCCAAGTTGAAACCTGAATTGAACCAAGCTGCAGTGGAGTCCAGATCTGTCCGTCTACATTGCTGGCTACACTCAATACATAGATCCAGAGAAATCCAAAGACGTCGCAGTTTGGAAAGAACGAGAAACAACAGAAGAACGGTAGGAAAAAGAATCACCCGACCCGGAATCGAACCGAGAACCTTCTGCTGGAAATGCTGTGTACACTCTTACTGAGTCTCTAACAGACGCACAACTTGTGCTACCAGGTGGTTCCTTTACCTCGCACATCATGAGATATATGGGCATGGAATGAGATCCCAAAATTATATCGATATTTGAACCAACATGGGTTACACTTTTGAACAGTCTGAAATTGAACACAAAATGTTTTCTCGCCAAACGACCCGGAATCGAACAGGGTCGTTCTGGGGAATACTCCTCCACGGGCTCTCAAATTCTCGCAGATTCGCACCTTGTGCTATCCGGTGTGGGTCCAGAATTGTGAATTCTGGGATAGTGAGTATTGAGGTCCACAAATTGAACTGATCTGAACTTCCTTCCTCGATGAAATTTGAAACGCCGATACATGTAAGAAAGGGTCACATTCGCGCGTAAAGGATGCTCAAACTTATATATGCCGTCGGGCGCGTGGAACTCATCCCGAATTTGGGAGTAGGACCCGGCTCCTTATAATAAAGATCTATAAAGTCGATGCTTGCTGCAGAACGAACAGGCAGCTATCGACGATCCTTGCGTTTCGGCGTTTAGGGCTAGGAATTCTACAGATATGGGATAGTTTCAGCTACATACAGATGAGAGTCTTCGCGTAATGAGTTTCTGCAATATGAACAATTGCCTACCGCTTCATAACGACCTCCAACCCATCGCCTCGCAGCTTTTCCAAGGACTCCTGCGACAGCCGCCGACCCTTGAGTCGGAGGGACCGGAGGGCGGGGTGCCGGTTTGCGACCATGGCCAGCAGCTCCGCATCTGTGGAGTCGTATGTCAGGCTGGTGGGCAATGACAGCTCACGGAGGTGTGTAAGACAGGTCGCCGCCGCGTCAATGGCTTCCACAGAGATTTGGGTGGATTCTCCTGCGATGTCGAGCGCGATGAGGCCGTGCACCGACGGACACGCAAGAATCTTCAGCAGGTCGGGCTCGTCGAGGTTCCAGCGAATGCGGAGGCGCGCGAGCGAGCATGCTGAGCGGGTGAGGAAGGCGACGATCTGCTGCACGACGTTGGCGTTAGAATCACGCCGGAACTCCGGTTCCTCGATCACGAGCTCTTCCAGGAGTGGCGCGGTGAGATAGCTGAGGAACGCGGAGAGGTACATGGAGTAGTCGATGGTGAGTGAGCGCATGGGCGATGAGACGTGGGAGGGTAGCTCGATGCCATTGGTTCGTAAGACTGTGATATATACATCCGTGCCGGGCGAAACGAATGAGAGGAAGCGCAGAATGTCCGATGCTTGACAGACAGTGAAAGTACATTTTCGGAGCCGCGCCCAGGGGAGTGGCAGATAGCTGGGCATCTCTATGCAACCCGCGTTAAGCGCCAGCTCTTCCAACGCTGGAAGGGAGTCGAAAAACCGAGCGACGTCGGTCGCGGACCAGTGGAGCGATTGGGATGTCGTGATGGAGAGCTTCTTCAAGATCGGGAAGTCGGCGCCGGATGCGAAAAGATGCTGGTATTGCTGGAGGTTCAGAAACAGCGTGACATCCTGCCAGCGCGTTGAGGCAGCAAGGAAAAGGTCAAGGGCATTGTATTGGTCCTCCATGTAGATGGAAAGTGGTGCTTGGCTGGACCGCTGCAGCTGAAGCGAAATCTCTCGGGAGATACCTGTGTCATCCAACCCTCGAGACCTGTAGCCTCGCAAGCTAAAGCGACACCAAAGCAACGGCGAGGCGAGCGCGACGTCGCGCCACCGACTGCAAACTTGGATGATCCGCCATGGCATGCTATTGCGTGGATCAAAACTCGTCGGAGGATCTGAGGAGTGTCCAAAGATCTCGGACAGGATCTCGCTGGGGAGTCTGCGCATGGTGGACACAGCACCACGGTGTCTTGTGACAAAATCCTCGAGCTCTGCGCGCTCCTGCTGCAGTCGGTCTACTACGCGCTGATTTGCAGCGATCTCCACCTCAGCGTGATGGATTGCATCGCGGATTGCGGAGATCTGAGCCTCGGATGGGACGGTGGTGCTGGAAAGGAGTTCTGGATACGGGTTCTCCAAGAGAAGTCCCAGGTCGCTCCGAGCTGGACAGTGCACTGAACAGACCGAGGTACACGCGATCCTAAATTAATACCGAGCGTTAAGGGAAGCTTTCTGAAGAGTATCGATACGACGCACTGGTTTGACATGACTATTTGAGAGCAAGACAGGTCGGCAGCTCCCGGCCGTTCGGCCGGCCACGTAACGTGACATATGGGCGATTAACAACATCTCCACCCTGAGACCTCCTATCCCCCTCCCTCGTTCTCCAATCTGGCTCTCAGAATTACTGCGGAGAAATATCGCTATTTTCATTCGTCGGCCATTGCATTTCCAGCTCATAGAGTGAAGAGTCACGACTCACCAGTGGACAAACTACGACAAATTGTCCCATGTTAGATTCTTTGTGCCTTCCCCTCCTTGAGGATATCTCGCGTCCCAAAATGGGACTCTTAATCAACCAGGGGACCAGAAATTTGAGAGGTTTATGCTCTATCCTTGCGTTTCCTTGGAGCCCACATTTGGCTGAACCTGTAAACAAGCTATATTCTGGACTCTCTCTTTCTGAGTTCCGCAGGTGCCCTGAAACATTCAACTGTTACCTACACATACGGTTCAGAAAGAAGTCAGAAACAGTGAATTATTATCCTCCAGGAGCTTCATCGATATCCGCTAGCTTAAGCTCAATCTCACCGCTTTTTCAGTATTTGTGAAGTGCTAGGGCATGGATTTATCTTCCCGCGTTAGATCCCTAAAATCATATAGATCAGATCCTAGGTAAATTGGCCAGGCTAAGTGCTGACCGAACGTTACCAACCACTCATAATACGCGGAGCACGGAATCGGTTGAAATTCGCCGTTGATTATTTCCCACGGTTGAGTCATCTACTGTATCGGATGATTCACCCTCGTCCGTAAACAGAACACGCACCAATTGTATACTCAATGCCTCAAATGGGAGAAAAGGTGATTTATATGCCCATACCGGTCGAGACTACAACTTTGTCTTGTTCATGATAATAATTTGTCCACTTCACTCACCAAGAACAAGGTTATTCTGAATCTTACGTGGCTCTATCGAGTAATATGATCTCAAGACCTACGTCGTTATAATTCAAGTGCGGGCGCCACGAATTCCTTTGCGGAAACGTGTGGTTATTCTTAGGGGGGGGGGTATTATACTCGTGTGATCCACAGCCTGAACTACGAGTTTACCAAAGACAATAAGTAGGTATGTATGCGTGGTTATCCTTACATAGATCTACAAGATGTCAACAGAGCACACGCCATTCAAGGGGGTTGATCACACAAGACGCTCACGGACCATGAACTGGCCGGCCTTGAACAGGCAGGACCTCCGGTTAAACCCTGTGGGACCCGGTTGGGGTTTTCCCCTTCCAGGTGGAAATTCCCGGAGACCGCCAATGTTCTGCCTCCCTCTCGGAGGTTATCGACGAAAAACAAAATGCTTAATATGGCTTCCAAAACACCAACGCCAATTCATGAGGCTCTTCGGTATGCTCAGGATCCGCTGGTAAATAAAACAACCCAACGAATAGTTCACGGCAATCGAGATCTCTTCATGTACTGGGAGATTCTGATTAATTCACAGCCCCAAGGTCCCTTCCACTACATATAAGTCCCCCAGACTTTGCGCATCTTGTTTTTTGATACACCGACTTTGCGCAATTTTATGATTGCGACTTTGCGCGGGATTCCCGACTCCGATTTGTGCATTTACGCGATTCCCCGAATCCGCGCAATTCAACAGCATCGTTCACTTTTGTGCGGAATCTCGCTTTAAGGGGCTTGTAGTGCGGAAATGTGATTTCAGGTCATTTGTTGCGCGCAGGATTAAATGTGCATTTGGACACTCATAGTATCACCATCGCTCGCGGGCACAGTTTCAATGCGTATCGACGGCTTTTTTTTGCCTGTGATGTACTACTGTACTCATTAGTAATTGAGAACCTCGAAAAACAAGAGCCAAATTTCTTGAAGTAAATGCGCGACTCCGGAATTTGCGATAAGTATGTACATACAGGTGTTTATTTTTTTGTGTAATTACATTCCCTAAGATCCCACATTCGATCACAAGCGTATTAGTGTCCGCCCTTTGGCTTGGGCTTGGGGGTGGTAGCCGCTTTGGTGGTGGTCGCTTTGGTGGTGGTCGCTTTGGTGGTGGTGGGTTTCGCGGACGACGTAGTTCGAACAGTCGAGCTCTTGCCAGCCGAACTCTTCGCGGAAGCACTGGTCGCACTACTATGAACGGACGACGCCGATTTAGATGTTGGTTTACTGGACGAGGATGAGGCCGGGTGGGAAGATGCGCTGCTCTTGGCCGAAGATGCGCCAGCAGACGAACTGGTGACCACGCTGCTGTGGCCCGAGGCAGACGAAACT